TTTATATTTTATTTTTATTATATTTTTTTAAATATATATATTAGTATTATAAAACCGGGTTTTTAGATTTAAAAAATAAAATAAAATAATTTTATTTCGAGAATTTTAAACTAAAAAGAAAAGCTTATAAATATAAGAATTTAATATTTTAAATATTAACTAGTTAAATATATTATTATAATTATATAATACTAAATTTATTAATAAAATAATATTATATAATAATTAGTATTTTTTTCTATTATAAAAGCTTAATATTATATTTTATTTTTTATAATTATTTCTAATTTATAATTATATTATTTTAAATATATTTATTTTCTCTATTATATATATTATTATTTTAGTTTTATTTCTTTATTAGAAAAAAAAACTCGAATATATATAATATTTTTATATAATCTAAATCTATTTTAATTTATTTTTTATTTTAAGAAATATTTAAAAGAAATTCTTATAATTTCGAAGATTTTTGATTTTATAACCTATAATTATTATATTAATAATATTTATATAATTTTTTAAAGAATAATAAAATAGCTAAAAAATAAATTTCTTAATTTAATAAAATATAATAATTAGTTTTTATAAGTTATAATATTATTAAAAGCCTATAAATTAATAATATTAAAGTTTAGAATATTAAAAGAGCTTAAATATTTATAAAAAGCTTATTAATACTAGAAAAAATAATTATAATTATTAAATTTAATATAAATATCTTTAATAAATTAAATAATATATATAATAAGCTTTTAAAATAAAAAACCTTTATTAGAAATAGAACTAGACTAGAATTAATTAAAAAGAAACTAAAGAATTATTAAACTAATAATAAAGAATTTAAAAATATTATTAAAAGTATTACTAAAATTAAATAAGAAAAGTTTAATAAAATTAAAACTATAATAAATAATCTAGAAATCAAGAATTAAAATAGAATTATATTATATAATAAAGCTTTTATCTAATATATTAATAATATTTTAATAACCTTAATAATATATATATAAAAAGTTATAATCTTTTTTTAAAATAAAAGTTTTAATATATAAGGCTATTTAGTTAATTAATAAAGCTATTTTAAAATATATTAAAAATAAGAAATATTAAAATATTAGTATATTTATTAAATTGGATATTATTAAAATATTTAAATATATTAAAACTATTTTGGGATCTAGAGAATTAGTTTTTAAATTATTATTAGCTAATAATCTTAAAACTAAATAATATACTTTTAATATTTTTAGAGTTTTTATTAAAAAATATTATAATAATAAATCTTTTTCTGGCTTTTATAATTAGTCTAGAAAATAAACTCTTATTATAATTTTAGTAATAATTTAATTAAATTAAACTAATAAAACTAGAAATAATCTAATAAAGCCTATTATTAGTATTATTAATAAAACTAGTAAAGCTAATATAATTAATTAAGAAGCTAAAAAAAATTAAAAAATAAACTAAGTCTAAAACTTCTAATAAATAATATAAATCTAAATACTAGTTCAAATATGAAATTAGTAATATATTAAGAAATAAAATGAAATAAAATAAAAAAAAATTAATAATATTAATAATATATTTAAATATTATACTTATAAAATATTAGCTAAATAGAAGCTAATATTTAATTATTAAAATAATTATATAATAGTATTCTGGAATTCATTTATAAATAAGAATATTATAGAATTATTATTAAATTCTTTAAAGCTTTTTATAAAATATATTTTTAGTAATTTACTAATATTTTCTTTATTTAGATAATTAATATTAAGCTTATAAATATTTTAAAAATAATTACTAAGATTTATAAAATTATTAAAAATAAGAAATATATTTCTATTATTTAAATAAATAAGAAAATATAGAATTATTTTTTAAAAAATAAAAAGATTATAAATTATAAATATAAATATTAGGTTTCTAATTAATTTCGCCCGAATTTATAATTCTAATTTAATATTATAGCTTTTATTTCTGAATTTAGTATTTCTAATCTAAATATAAATAATTATATTTATAAAAAGAATTATTTAAAATAAACTAAAAAACTTAATATTTATAAGCTTTTAATAGAAAAAATAGAAATACTATAATTTTATTTCTAAAAAAAAGTATTAAAATATAGAAATCTAAATTATAGTTACTTTATTTTAATTTTTTAATTTTTAATAATAAATCTCTTAATACGGCTTGAACTTTATAAAATATTAGCTAAATATTCTATTTATCTAATTATTTATTTTTAGTTAGTCTAATATTATATTTCTAGAAATATTAATTATTATTAATATAAAGATAATATTAATAATCTAGCTCTTATTAAAATTCTAAATAGTGAGTTTTTCTTTAGTAAAAAAAATGAAATAAATATTAGTTATATATTTTTTATAAATTATAAAAAGGCAGTTTCTCTTAATAAAAAAGTTCTTAAAAGTATTAATTACTTTTTTATTTATAATAATTTCGATTTGAAAAATATAAAGAAATTAAATAAATATTTAATAAAAGAAAGAAAAAGAAAACATTTAAATATAAAATATTTAACTAGATAAATAAATGCCTTTAGCTAAATAATTTATAAACCTAGAATAATAATTAAAAAATAGCTTAATAATAATTTATTATTCGAAAAGCTATTTATTTGAAATATATTAATATAATTTATAATATAATTCGCTATAATAAGCTATTTTAATATCTAGTTATAAAGGCTAAAATTAACTAATAATTAAAAGTAAATACTAAATAATAAAAGGAATTATATTATATTTAATATAAGAATATAATTAAATAAATTCGAATTATTTTTAAGTAAGTTCGAGAATATAAAATAAGATTATTTAAAAATAATAAATTATATTAAAAATATATTAAAAAGGAATTAGAAATATTAATAAAAGAAAATTCTAACTATTTTATTATTTTGAATTCTAAATAGGAATTTTTTATTAGTTTTTAGTATTTAGGAAATAAATATAAATAAATAAGAATTTAGATATAATATAATAAGTTATACTTTATTAAAATTACTTTATTTTAATAGTTTTAATATTTTAGTAATATAATAAAAGTTAGGGCCTTTTATATATAACTTGCGGGAATTATATAAGAAAGCTAGCTTTTTTATAATTCTAAAAAGTAATTTCTTTTCTATATTTAATTAATTAAGCTTTTATATATTATATATTATTTATATTTTATTATTTATATCTTTAATTTTATTATTTTATTATTAAATCACGTTTTATATTCTAATATACTTTATATAGGTTTTTATTTTATTTTAGTTTCCTTTTTATACTATTTAAAGCTATTTTATTTAATTCGAAAAATTTTTAATAAAAAACTAGAAACTTTAAAAGCTATTATAAGAACTAAAAACTTCGGGAATTAATTACTAATATATAATAATTTAATTAAAGAAGTTATTTCTAATATTATAAGCCAGGTTTTTATATAAAGAAAACTACTAGTTTTATTTTTATATAAGCTAAATATATATAAACTATATATCCTATAGCTATAATATAATAGGAATACAAATATAAAGTAATATATAGAAAGAATAGGCTTTTATAATATAAAATTATAATATATAAATAAAAGATAAAATTAAAAATTAAAAATTAATTTATTTATTAGTTTTCTAAGAATTAAAAAAAAAAGCAGGAAATATATATAAAACTAGATATATAAATATCCGGGAATTACCTAATTATATTATATAATTAATAGAAGTAAAATCCCTATTATAATAATAATAAAAGTTATATAATTAAGTTTAAACCACGGGTTTAATTTATTATTCTAGTATTTAAAAGCTATTATTTTTTAGAATTATTTATTATAAATAGTTTTAAAAAGACTATAATTTATATAAAAATAAATCCTAGTAATTAAATACTAGAATTTAATTACTAATATATAAAAAATGCGAAATATTTATTTTTATAATAATTAAAAACTAGTATTTAAAGTAATATAAATAAATATTCACGTAATAGCCGCATATAATAAACTAGCCTAATTAGATAAACCTCTAGTTTAATATTACTCTAATACTATATCTTTATTTAATTAAATAGTAATATTACTTAATAAGTAAAATAAAAGAAATTAAGATTTTAAAAAATATAACTAGTTTATTATTATAGAAAATTAGTATTTAAGTCGTTTTATATAAGCTTTAACTTATCTTTACTAGAGCTACTTAATAAATACTTGTATTATTTAATTATTAAATGAATTTTAATTTATTATTATTATATAATAGCTACTTATAACTACTTATATTACTTATAAATATATATTCTACTTTATTCAAATTTTTAGGATATTATGCTACTTATATTCTACTCACGCTACTCATGAATATTCATGAGTAGTATGAGTAATATGAGTAGTTCTTTGACACACTGACTTTATATCGTGCTGGCGTTGCTCGTGAGGCGCTACTATAACTACGCAGTATAGGAACGCTGTGACCACTGAGGCTGGGATTGCAAATCAATTCAGAAGGAATGTAAGAGCAGGGGTCAGTGGCGTAGACGTTGACAATATTGCGGTCCTCTTTGGACAGGAGAGGAACGGTCCTGGAACCATCAAGGCTAGTCTCTCAATTACTTATCACTCTCGTTATCTCGAGGGAAAGGCTCGTATAGAGAGCCTTCTCTAACCACCAGGGGGTGCAGGAATACGTGGGCACCCGCAATCAAGCGAGAATTATCAAAATGAGTACAATTTCAACTATTTACAGCTCTTAATCACCACAACTCACTCTTAAGAAGCTTCCCACCTTGCTTAATAAGGTCCTGGCATCGCTGTGGCATCTCTGCAATACGTGCACGTATCTCGTCCATTGTAATCCTGTCCCACTCTTGCAAAATGGCCTTAAGCTCCTCAATGATATATATAGCAAAATTTTGTTGGTAATTTCAAAAAGAGGTTCAGAACCTAGAAGAAATTAAAACTGAAGATGGCGGTGGCCACTAGACCACAAGTCGGAACATACTCCTTCTTCTCGGCGGCTGAGCTCTCACACCTCTGACTGTGAAAGCATCATCAGAGGTCATCTCTGATGGCGCCAGAGCCGGACTAGTATCATCAAGCTCAAAGAATCCCTCCTGGGCTAGCTGATCGATAGAGTTTCGACGACGTTGGGTCCACTGGGCAACATCATCAGGAGACGCTGGGAAGGCAGTTGAAGACGACGATCCTTCCCTGAGGTTTGATGAAGACTTAACTCTTCGGAGGGAAGCATTGGCGGATGCTTCTGGTGAGGTGTTGGCTGATTGGGGCTTGGCCGCGTGTCTGCGCCGACGGCGGGCTGGTGCTTTGAGCGAACCGCTGGTGCGAATGACTGCGGTACGCGTCTGGGGTTCTGGAATTTATATGAGCTAGGGCTGCTTGATAGGAGTGAAACTGGTTTTAAAATGACTTACGTTGTGGGATATCTTCAATCATCAGTGTTCTCGGAAATCCGCTAATGGGTAGATGCGAGTTCGAAGCAAAGGGGTATCCGTCATCCTGGAGACAAAGCGATATTGATATTTCGGCGAGTTGCTTTACAACAACGATTTGAACTCGGTCCATTATGAAACGTCCTTTCAAAACCATGTCTTTAACAATCTCTTCGGTAATAGGTAGTTTCTGGACGGTGTCCCAGTTTTGAGAATCTTCGATGACGAAATATGGCTCAAAGTTGCCTTTGAAGCATTTCACCAAGTACCGACCCAGGGCTTTTGTCTCCTCTGTGCCGATATGAAACCGGCAAAACAAAAATCCTACAACGAAAGTATTAGAGAATTGTATCACGAGTGTGCTCTAGATTCAAGACTACACACCGTAACACTCGTAGCCTCCTTCTCGTTCCTTGGTCGAAGCTTCTGTCTTTTCGAAGAAGAAAGTGCTGGCGATCAAACGATGAGCGATCTCTTTGACACGAGCATTCGTGTGAATTTGCTCATATGCGGCCTTCTGTACATCAGGCATTCTCTCCACGTCATCCAGTTTCGGAACTGGAAAGCCGAGATCAGGATTGAGTCGAATGTATCGCTGCCGGGAGAAGTCGACACGGAAATCGTTCCAGATCTTTGTACAGTTCAGAATATTGTCGAAAACTGAAGTGGCTGTGTTCCACAGCTGACCTAGGGCCGTAAAATTTCGAACTGTTGGCACCGGCACATTGGGTGTTGGCATGGGTTCCTCTTTCCTGGAGCGATTCAATTCCTTCCGCCGGATGAGGCCACTCCCTTTGGAAGGCGAACTTGGATCCTCTGCACGGCCATGGTGACCCGTTCCAATTGAAAGAAAGATATCAGGCTCTCTATTGCTGACGTCCTTCCAGATTAACATCCTCTCTTGATGAGCAATCTTCACAGGGTTGTTGTGGTAAAGTGCACCATCAATATAACCGTTCTTGGTCTCGTTTTTGATGAAGTTCTTGAAGTAGGGGGGAGCAGCGGAGGTAGCTCGGGCACTGATAATGTCAGTTTTGTTTTTCTGTTCCTCAAGCAACTCGAAGGATAACTTACGCTTCCCAAGTCTTCAACTCTGTCATTGGTCCATCTTGACGCTCGAATTTGTAAGGCCCTAAAGAGGAAGATGATCAACTTTAGCCACTCAAAATAATATATTCAACTTACGATAATCTCGTGGATCTCTCTGGTCTGGTCGATTATAGTTTGCAAGGAGGATTGGCTGCTGATCGAGTACTGTCGTGGACGTGACCGCCACTTTGATCATGTGCCCCTCCTGGCTGGAACCACCAAACAGTGGGCGGTCTTGGAAAGAAGCCTGCAATGCAGCCTCAAGAGGCTTCGTTTTATATCTGCTGCCATGGTTCGCTGTTGTAAGAAGACCAATTACAGGAATGTTGATGAATTCTCGTGGGACGAATGCTTGCCCACATAAGCCAGTGAATTTGTTGATGCACTCCTCAACAGACCAATTCTCGACTCCAAGGCCCAACGCAATGATACCACCGGTGCTGTGGGAGTTAGACAGTAATTCGGGGACGTTGAAATGGTTGGCATGTTACCTAGTGCCCACAATCAGATCGAAAAATGCCTGAATGGGCAACTCGCCGCCAAGTGCCTTTTCGATGGCTCGTAAGACTTCTAGCTCAACGATGCCGCGACATCCACCCCTGATATGTTGTTAGCAAGGTTTAGCCTCGATCATAAGCTTCGATTGGAGATACCCATCAAGACTGAGAATCCGTGTCCCCGCGTGCAAGGGTTTGACCTTGATCCTCCAAGGGAAATCGTTCAGAAATTCCGTTTCGACGAGGTGTAGAGGACAAGAGTCCAGTTTTATTACCGTCTTTTCGTATTGCTGGCCATATGCTTTGACGCAGGGCGTACAAAGAACGTGACCACAGGGAAGGGGATGTTCCGGGAGCTCTCTCAGGCATGAAAAGCATGTTGAGTGACTGACAAAATGGTACACATCGCCGACATTTTGATAGAACAGGTTCATGTACTGTCTGTGAACTTCTGACGCAGCTTCTTCTTCTGTGAGCCTCTTTCGTCTGAATGTCAGGTCGTAGACTTCTTGTTGAATTTTCTTGAGGTTAGCCCGAATCTCATCGATGAATCGATCAGCGTAATCATCGAACACGAAATCAGACTGATATCCACCTGCCCCAATGATTTTGCCGGCGCTGTTCTGGTGGCCTTTGGGATTGTGGCCGGACTTCATGTTACAGCATTTGCCATACTGATTCCTGTAGGAACATGGCCAGTACATGTTGCAAAAGTTAAATAAGGCATCCTCGCAAAGCTCGGCGTAGAAATCATCTAGCAACTGCTCTGTTGAACCTTGGTCATATCAACATCTCTGGCTCAAAGTACATCTCAATCCAAGCTCACCTAGAAAACTCTGACGCGCAGAAGTGAGCATCAAGCACGAGGCCACCATGTTGCTAAGCTCGGAAAATATCTTGGCTCCATCGTATGGGTCAGCAAAATGATTGTGCTCTCTAACAGCGATGGCGAGTTTCAAAATGTTGCCTCCGATGTCACGTGGTATTGGGTTGTTCTTGACTGCTTCCTTGACAAAGTCGAATGGGACGTTGAGATTCTGAGAGAAGTGGTCGAAAGCGGATTGAAGAAAAACTTGCAGCTTTTCATCGGTGGATATCATTCGAACTCGTTTTTTCGTCCAGTGTGAAAGCTCGCAGCACCTCTTGATCTCGGTGTGCAATTTTCCAATCTGATCATTGATGAGCATGTATCGCCCATGGGTCGGTATTCTGATGACGGTAACCGAAGAGTAGTAGCACTCCAAGAGATCTTTGGTTGTTTTGATTGGGCGACCCCTTTGATTCCATATCCGGGCGTATTCTGCAAAGCGTGGCACGCGTGCAATCGCACCTTCGATGTCTGACATCAAGATTCTGGTGGCCTCTTCGATGTCCCATTGCTTGTCATCTATGGTAAGTTCGGTGGCATTCAGGGCGATTACAACGTGAGGAAGTGCCGGTTGATTCAAGGAACTTTCGATTGATGCTGATGCCCAATCAAGTAGTTTCTCTAGCACTACCGATTCGAAGACCCTACAAGGTCAGACGTTGGCAAGGTAGAAGACGGGATGTAACTCACTTTGAGTTTCGCAGAACGAATACAACTACATCCGAGAACGTATACAGTAGACGAGGATAGAGCTCTGTCACAGCATACTCTCTCTTTCGAGTTTCTGGAGTGGTTGCCCATATGATATCTCGTTGTGAGCTATGAGCGACCTTACGGATTCGACGACGGAATGTTGGATCGTTTTTCGCACTGGTAGCTCGCGCAGCCTGCGGAGCAGCATCATCACGTATCTTATATCTTGCTCCTCTTGGAACATTTTCGCCTCCATCGAGACCCTCGCAATCCGCATACAGCATCGGCTTGGCGCTGTAGTAAGTGGCTGGGTCAGAGTATAAGTGTACATCCCCTGAGGTTGGGAGGTTATCTCCAGTCGCGCCTGTTACTGGCGAAGGGAATTTCGACTCGTGGGCAATGTTCATCTCGTTTTCTTGGTTATCGATTAACATCTTGACCAGGGTACTCTTTCCGGCTCCTGTTCGGGAAGAGGTCAGATGGTCAGCACTTGGTACCTTGGACAAAATCTATCAATGGAACACTAACCCGTTTGTCCTATGAAAGACACAAGTTGAGGATATCGAACATTGATCTGGCTCGTGCGACTTTGAGCCATGATTGTCGCATATCTCTCATAGTCCCGAAATATGGGGAGATTTGCGGAGTCGCGAGCAATACCGAACCAAGTGGTATCTTCATCATTCTGATGCTCCTTAATCTTGTCCTCCGCAGTTCTTTTGGGATCAAGAATCATTCGCAGACGCTCAACCACCTTTCGATCGGTTTTCTCGTGAGGTTTGCCATCAAACCCCACGGCGCCTGGTCGATGTGCTCGCTCTTTTCCCCAACAGTCATCACAGAACGAATCGTTGTTGCATTGAATGCAAGTCCATGTTCTGACATTTCTCTGACAGACATCGCAAGGACAAGTCATCGAGCTGCTTCGCGAAGGAGCTCGAACGGATGCTGCGGCGGCGGGTTGGAAAGAGCTGATCGAAAGCTGGGACGGCGGCCGGTCACGGGCGGTGTCTCCAGCAGTGGCAGAGCCGAAGTGATCGGCAGACGATTGACTTCGTAACGAGGAATAGAATGTGGAAGACCGACTCGGGGTATCGCGAGAGAAGGGGGGTGCCATATTGAAGCCTTACCACGAAGTTGTTTTGGACAAGATGGAGAAGCATCGTGAAGGGAACAGGCGAGGGAAGAGGGTGTCAGCTCATCTTCCCGCACTCGTTCACCGGCAGCAGGGCCTCCCATTGCTTGAGCCTCAAGCCCAGCACACCATCATGAGAGGGGCCCAGCAAAAAGTAGGGATCGTGGCGCCCCAGCCTTGCGGTTCGTGCCGTATGAGTGGGTAGCACTTGCATAAACCACGCGTAATCGCCACACAAACCTCCGAAACATATCCTATGGTTCGTGCCAATTCCATGGTTGCGCTATTTGCAAGGCTTAGTAAAAGGCACAAGAGCAATAAACGTGCGTTATATCCAAGAAGGCGAGTACGCGCGCAGGGCTGCAAGATAGCATATAAGAAATAAGACATTATATAGAAAAACTTACAGAATTAATGATTTTGCAGCATAGGAGGCCAGAAGGGGTTCAAACAGTTCTCTCTTTGCATTAGCACCCGTTCTAGGGTCTGCCCAGAGAGGGTGCTTATATATCTAAAAGAGAGTCGAGATCAAAAATTACCGCTTTGACCGTACACCCATGTTCTAGGAATACGAAGCGAGCAGAACACGGGGGGGTACAGGGATTGGCAGGGGCACACTCCTTTTGTATCTATAGAAAGGGTTAGCCTCATGTGGGGAGGCAGGTCATTGGCCGAAGATAGCGGTCTCGCTGCGGGTTGCTCCTTCCGCTCACCGATCGGCATTAGTAAAGCTACAACATGTTTTTCACCATTCCCACATTGCAATACAATCAATCATTTGTGCATCGCGACCACTAGCAGGCACCGCAGAGCCATTTCGCTGGATTGTGAGATGGTGACTCTACAAATACGCAAGCTGGAAGATTGTGACACTCGATTCGAGCATAGCATGCTGAGATCGCCACCAACATGTCTACCACAGATGGCGCGGAACAGTACCTGGACAAAAATTCTAAGTTCTCGGAAACAATGGGAATTAAGCAGCAGTGAGTAAAAAGTCCATATCATCTTCAGGGTGCTCACAGATATTACCACAGTACTGCCAACGCGGCATCCCTCCAGGGAACTACGCCAGATAACTTCAGTTTCTTCCAAGACAATGACAGTGACGATAGTCTTAGCCACCCTGATTCCGGATTTGACAGCGGAAGGAGTCCACCAAGCTCTAATACATCCTTTACACCGCCGCCGAGACCCGAAGAAATCACTCGAATGCAGAAGCATATCAGCATGCAAGAATTTGGAAAAGATCTTCAGAAGGCTGCTAGATGTATCTTTCCCAACGTGCATCAATCCAGATACTCCAACGCGTACGTACTGATGTTCATGTGGGAGATTGAGGACGAGAATCTCCCAGTCCGCTTGGAGATTGATAAGTTGCGCTACGTCTTCGAGGAGATCTACCACTACGACGTGGAGGTCTTTAGAATTCCAGATAAGAGGAGCCACAGCAAAGTCAGCGCAAAAATAAATGAGTTCGTCTCAATTAACGATGACAGTGTGGAGGATCTTAAGATTGTCTTCTATGCCGGACATAGCAAGTTGTCGAAGACGAAGGACATTGTATGGACTAGGTATGTTTGTACTTCGATGTTCAGGCTTCAACTTTACCTTCATCAATTTTCTAGCACGTAAACACAAGAACATACTAACTAGAATATCAAAAAGTGTACAGAAGACCGGTGATAAATTTGCGACTGTTACCTGGACTGGCATACAACAAGAACTTCAACAAGCTCAGAGCGACGTTTTAATCCTCCTCGACTGCTGCTCCTCGGGAGTTGCGGACGGGGGAGAAGGTAATGGGGTGACTGAGTTACTAGCTGCTTGTCCTTTTGGGATCGAAGCTAATGGCGTCGGTCCTTATTCGTTCACAAATTCATTGACGATTGAGTTGAGGCTCCTTAGTCAGAAGAAGTTGTTTTCTGTTGGTGACCTCTATTCCAACATGTACCGCAGAAACCAATCACATCTGCATCAAGGCGTTGCTAACGAACGGTATCCACCTCCCATTCATTTGCGATTAAGGTCCGAGGAAAAGTTCCCTAGAAGCATACAGCTTTCTGTCCAGCGGCAAGTCTCCCAATTGGACACAGAACTCGGTACCTCTGAGCATTCAGAACATATGGCCCCACCAAGGATCCCCGATAAATCAATCAATCGCCAAATACTGTTCGGGACTGGCCCGAAGACGCCAAACGAGCCTCTATATCCTAGGCCTTATTTCGAATATGGGTCTATGTCGCAACAATCTAGCGAATCGGAGCTCACAAAGAAATCTGTATCACTGGCACCTCTTGAAAGCGTCGATGTGTGTAAGAAAAAGCCGCCATCGCCAGTAGATGGCAACAGAATGCTACTTGCTATCCGGTTTACCGATACAGTAACGGCTAAAGATCTGTCATCTGAGTATTTTGCCGATTGGCTTCGGACCATACCTGGAGAAGTCGCAGAAGTAGTCGTGGAGGCTGGGTTCATATGCGATTCTACGCTCCTTTTGGTTTCCCTTCCTGTTTCGTTGTGGACTTACCTGTCGGATAATCCCGCTATAATTCCTCTCGGTCGGGTTCTGTCCTCGAATCTCCTGGCGCCGAAACAAGTTATTTTGGGCAGAACAGATAACGAGGATGATGTAAATCCACAATCTCCAACAAAAGAAAATAAAGGAAAAGGGAAGATCGTCTCGTTTGCAGAAGAGGGGAATCAAGTGATTCTCCCACGAGATTTCGGATATGAGGAAAATAGTATTGACGAAGGTCTGGAGGTGGAAGCCGATATGTGTCAGGACTTAGGTAAGGGAAAATATGAGATAACAGGGGCCATTACGACTAACCTCACTGAAGTCGTTGATTATACCGAAGAAGTATCAGAGGAATCCACAGATACCGAGGAAGAAACCGAAGATGACGAATCAATCGAAGAGGTGTCAACAGGAGTCCTCGTTGCATACCCCGGCGATTCTCCTAGTTTTAGAGTCTCAGGTCCCGCAATCATCTATTGTCTTAACATCCGTGACAAATTCCCCTTGGCCGAAATCCAGCTGGTTGAAAGGCTAGGGGAGGCGAACTGGCAACGCCATGTGGCCATTCGAAGCAGGAATGAATTAGAAGAGATCACAGCGCTTGAAATACCACAGGAAACACCAAGATATGTCTTCCAGCCAAAGTCGACCTTTGAGGATTCGGGCTTAGGTACCAGCCTTCCAACTCTACTAAGTGCGCCATCTCTGGCTCCGCACGTCTATCATACTTCAAATATCGAAAGTCTACGACCGCGATCCTCTTACGCTCCATCGCTATTGTCTTATCTATCGAGAGCCTCGGATCCTGATACCGACCATTTCCGGGTTCCTCCCATCCCAAGAGAGGCTGCCGAACGGAAACCATTCTCGTGTTTCATCTGCCGGCGTGTCATCAGTCACGTCAGAAACCGGTTAGAGTGGAAGTGAGTGATATACAAGGATGTATTTGAATTCAAAGCTAACAAGTTTATGTACTTCAGGCTACATGTTTTCACGGATATTCGGCCATATATTTGTTTATTCTCGACTTGTACTGAGGTACTTTCTACATTCCCAACTCGCAAAACTTGGGCAGAGCATCAATCTCACTATCACTTTGTTGACATCTCATGGCACTGTCAGCATTGTCCAGCAATTTTTGATAGTCTTGAGGAATTCAAGCTGCATTTAAACGAATTTCATGCTACGCCAGTCAGCGATTCCGTGGTCCAGCTTGCCGAGAAAAGATTGCCGCATACAATTGGGACAGTAAAGTGCCCATTGTGTTTGAAGGTTCCAGGGAGTACAGAGGCATCTTACTTCTTGCATGTTTCAAAACATATGGAGAGCATTGCCCTCGGAGCCCTGCCAAGGGAACCAGATGAGCCCCAGGAGACTGGCCCAGATGATTCCGACTCCGACATCAGCCGACAGGGAACAAGTGAAAGAGATTCGTATTTGGTTGAAGCAGCTTCCCAATTGACTTCAACTAGTCCAAAATTGGCCGGAGGAGAGCTAAAAAGAGACGGGCAAGATGATGTTGTACTTATGAATTGCCCCTTTTGCGATTATACAGCAGATAGCGAATATTGGATCATGGTACGTATTGCTACACGATCTAATGGCGAGACTCGGCTTGCCCAAATGTTGATAATTTTGGCAGTTTCACATAGAAACCACACACCCCGCCCCAGTGAGCGACGAGCTCTCGAAATTCTCATGGTACAAGCCTGATCACGAGTTTGAAATGTCGTACGACTTCAATATCCAACCTCCAGCCATAAAGACTGCCACGTTGGTGGCCCTTGTCGCACGGCTTACAAGACATGACATGTTGGATTCCATGTTCAATAACACATTCCTGCTTACTTACAAATCCTTCACGACTGCCCGTGAGCTATTTGTGTTCTTGGTGAGGAGGTTCCAAATTCAGCCTCCGGATGGAATGGCTCAGGACGAATTTGAAAAATGGCGAGATCGAAAGCAGAAGTTAATTCGTTTCCGTGTCGTCAATATCTTAAAGAGTTGGGTCGACAATTTCTGGATGGAAGATCAGAGTCATGAGACCATGTCGCTTCTCCGAGACATATATTACTTTGCCCGAGATACAGTAAAGGTTATAGGAGTTTCTGGAGCCAATTCGCTGATGATACTCTTGGAGCAACGAATTCGAAGAAATGACGAAACCAAAGTAAAACGTTTGATACTCAATTCAAGTCAATCGTGGCCTGCACCTATACTGCCGAGAAGTATGAAAATTATCACCTTCCTTGATGTTAACATTACGGAGTACGCTCGACAATTGACGCTCATGGAATTTAATTTACTTAGTAAGATCAATACTAAAGAGCTTTTGTCTAATAATTGGAACAAAGCGGCGGTAAAGGATGGGCTGGAGCCAGCTCGAAATATCAAGGCATTTCTGCTTCATGACAGCCAGTTGTCAGATTGGATTATTGGATTGACTCTCTATCAAACCACCGCCAAGAAAAAAGGGGCTGTGATCAAGCACTTTGTTGGCATAGCAAATGTAGGTTTCATTCCCGTAAGCATGAATCCAACGACTGATATTTCCAGAAATGCCGCCAACTAAATAACTATTCAGCGGTAGCCTCTATTGTCTTCGCTCTCGGAGCCCCGAAAATAGTAGTGTTGAACGAAACATGGAAACTAGTTTCCAATGACACAATAAGAATACTGCAAGAATTACGTGGGCTCATGAGCTTTTACAAAGGTTATTCACAGCAGTATCAAGATGCATTGCATCTTGCAAATCCACCTTGCATCCCGTGCTTGAGTATGTTACCGTCTTAACACAAACTTAGACAGTATTCCTGACTCTTTTTTCCTTTTAGGAGTTCATCTTACCGAACTTGCTCGTACCGAGGCTGCTGCTCCCGTAATAATTGATAAGTCGGCCCAAATCAATTTTGCACAACTGCAGAAAACCGCAGAAATCATCCGCGACATCCAACAATATCAGAATATCTCATATTCATTGCAGCCAGTGCCAGAACTGCAAGAGTATATACTGGTGAATCTGCAAGCTGCGAGCGATGCTGGGGAGCCGGAACCCAAGAATTTGGAGGCTGAATTACTATCCTCACCAGCCGGGAAGAGCGGAAGAGAAACCCCCAGTTACTTCGGATGAGAAGCTCGATATAAAACACTATCACGTTCTGCCGGCACCTAAAACGCCACAAGTTCTGCCTCTAGCCTTGAGAATAGAGCTTTCTCCTCCCCAACTGCGCGTTTTCGAAGTTGTCTTGTAGCTACCGAACTGAGGATTGTTGAGAGCTTTCTCGTCTCGAAATTTCATCCACGTAAACTGGGCAACTTGCGGTAGATAGTGACCACGGACTTGTTTTTCTTGTTTTTGAATCCCTCGTCTGCCTTCCCGAGCTTGTCTTGTACCTGCCGAACTTGAAAACGGTTTTCGTGACAACAGGAAAGAACAACTCTTAGTCTTGGAGGCAGCATCGGGAAGATAACGCAAAACTTCGCCCCCTGCGCCGTTGCATGACCGAACTCTTGCTAGACGGTAGATCCCTCAGGCTCTTTATTCCCGGACTTCTCGAATTGTAATACCGCTCTCGAGTTCTAGGATTCCGAGACGAACTCGGTCCCTGGACTCTCTTAAATCCTAATACTTAGTTGTATTGCGGAGGCAAATTCGGGCATTTAAAGGGACCTTAATAACGTGTCCAAGGTTCTACAAGTCCTTAATAATTTCCTAGCGTTAATAGTTAGATCGGGGAAAGGGAATTAAGAACTCGAATTCGTATATCTAGGGGTTTGTAGCTTTTTAGTAAAGTATTAATAATGAAAGTAATAAAATAAATACTTAAAAAGCAAATATATAAATAAAGCAAATTTAAAAATCATACTTTAATAAGGAATTAATTTATTAAAATTGCATTATTAGTAACTCAATATTATTAATAATTCAATATTATTAATAATTCAATATTATTAATAATTCAATATTATTAATAATTCAATATTATTAATTACCTAATATTAAATAATTATATATAATAAATCTTAAATATTAATTAAGGAAATTAATATTTATTTTTTCTTTCTCTTTTTATTTTATATTATATTAATATAATATAATAGTATTTTATTATAATATAAGCTAAATAAAACACTTAAAATAATTTTAATATTCTAGTATTTCTTACTTGTTTTTAGATTATATTAATTATAATTAAAATAATTCAATATTAATTTCTATTAATAATAAGTATTTTAGATTTAATAAATAATTTTTTTAATTAAAAGAAATATTAAGAATTCTTTAAAATTAAAATTTTCTTTATATATTAAATATATTTTAAAATAAAATATAAAATATAAAAAAATTAATTTTTTAAAGGAAATAATTAAATTATTATTATAGAATAATAATAATTAGTTAATTTCTAGCTTAATTTAGCTTTTATATTATAATATTATTAATATATTATAAAATTATTTAATAATTAATAAATATAAAAATATAAAAATATAAAAGAATAATTTTTCTTTATATAATTAATTAAATATTAATTAATTTAATCTAATTTAAGAAAATTTGAATTATATTAATTATACTTTAATTAATATAATCAATTTTTTAATATATTATATATAGCTAAATTTGAATTATATTATATAATTTAGTTATAAATAATATTAGTAATAATATTTAATTTTTAAAAACATTTATATTAATAAAGTCTTTTTCTTTTAATTTATTATAAAATAACTTATAATTAATAATATTTATTATTTTATATTAGAAATAATAATTAAATAATAATTTTTATTATAATAAAACATTATTATTATATTATAATAATAATATATTAATAGATTATTAGAAAGAGAGGTATAGTACGAGTGGCCAAAGCTTAAATACAGGAATGTAGTCACGTGAGCCTGCACGTGACTACTAGTACGCAGTTACTATATAATAATTTTTAAAGCTTATTATAATTTTAAAGTAATTAAAATAATATTTAAACTAAAAATATAAAAAAGCTTTCTTTTATTTAAAATTAAAATTATTTTTATTTTAATAAAAACTAAACTTTAAATTATATATTTAAAGATTTATTTAAAAGTTATTAGATTTAATATCTTAAATATATTATATTATAAGTATTTATTAATTTAATATTAAAATATATATTTAAAATAATTAATTAATTTATAATTTAGGGTATTTTCTATTATTAAAGTTATATATAACTAATAAATATATATTTTTATAATAAATAATATTATAATATTTTTATTTTATTTATAATAATATATTTAAAATTATTATTATTATTAAAATTATTATTTTTAAAACTAACTTTTTTAATATTAATAAATTTAATAAAATAATAACTAATATTTTAAAAAAATTAATATAAATTATATTTAATATTATTTAATAAGAAATATAAAAATATTATAGACTTAATAATAATTAAATAAAAGTAATAAATTATTTATTTTTAAATTAAGCTTTAATTTAATAATATTATTAAGCTCGAATATATTTATATATTATAAGTTTTAATAATTCTAAATTAAGTAAATAATAATAATTAGAAAATAATTTATTTTTAAGGCTTTTTTTTAATATTAATATTTATATAATAGCTAATATTTTAATTAAATTATATTTTATATTATTATATTATATATTATTAAATACTAATTATTATAAAGCTTATTTAAAAATGAAAATAATTAATTATATTAATAATACTTTAATTTAAAAATATTATTTCTTTATTTAATAAACTTGCTTTTAATATTTTTTTTTATTATATTAATATATTTATATTAATTATAGCTTTTAAATTATTAAATTATTTAATAAAATTCTAATAATATTTAAATAAAGTTTAATTAGCCTATATAAGTAATATAATATAGGCCTTATATAACCTATTTAAGCCTTTATATTTTTTTTTTATATATTAAAGTAAATATAAGAATTATTTTTCATTTTATATAATATTAGTTTCTTTAGTCTTTTATTAATATTATATACTAGCTTATATATTAGTTTTCGTATTTTGAATCTTAATAATATTAATTTTATATTTTCTTTTTTTAATTTTTTTTAATTATTTCTTATTATTTTTTCTTGCCTGTTTTTTTATATTTTTTTTTAAGATTCTTTTTACTTTTTATAAATAATCTTTTCTTTTCTTTTCTTTTTAATTTTATTATATTTAGTTTAATAATAATATTTAGTTTTTTAGTTTTTTTTAATTTATTATAAATTATTTCTAAATAAAATAACTCGATTTCTTTCTAATAGCTTTATATGTTTTTAAAAACTTTATTTATTAAAAAAAGACTTAATTTATATATATCTTTTAATTTCTTTTTAGTAAAGTTCTTATATATATTTTTTATTTTATAAAATATTTGAAAAGAAGAATTTTAATATATTATTAATTATTTAATTTATAAATTCTTTTTATTATAATTAATAAGTCTAGTTCTAAAAAAAGATTTAATTAACTTATTTAAAGTATTTCTAATTTTCTTTTCGATTTTTAAAGCTTTAAAAAATAAAAAAAACTTTATATTATTTTTTTTAAGCTTATTTAGAAATTTAGAAATATTATATAATTCGGGCTATTTCTTTTATATTATTAATTCTTTAAACTTTAATTAAAGTTATAATTTATTAAATAAAGATATATAAATTCAAGTAATAAATTAGTTTTATTATAATTATAATTTTTTTTAATAATTTTTTTTTAATTATTTACTTTTTAAAAGCTTTTAATATTATATTAAAATTAAATAAATAAATTCTAGTTTTTATAAAAATTAAATATTTTTTTAATAAAAGCTAAAGTTTTAATTTATTTTTATAAATCTTATTTTTAATTATTTTTAAATATTAATACTTCTTTTATTAAAAATTTATAATATCTAATATCTAATAATTAATATAAATAAATAAAAATAAATAAGATTTAAAGGCTTTATAAATTTAATCTAATAATAAAAATATTATAGCTATTTATAAACTAGCCTATTATTTATATACTTATTTTTAAAAATTATAATTTTAATATTTAAAACTAAATTATTATTAAAATACCTTTATATAAATATATTATTTAATATAATAATTAATAAATTAAGCTTTTAAAAATTAATAAATATATATTTTAAAGCTATAACTAGCTTTCTTTATATAAGATCTTTTATAAATATCTGAATTTAATTAATATAAATATATTTTTAATTAAATAATCTTTTATTTATATATTTTAAATTTTTATAAATAATTATAATAATACTATATATATATTTTACTCGAAATCTTTATTTATTTATAATATATTAATTACTTTTATAAATATTATATTTCTCTTATATAATTTTTAAATTATTAAAGTTTTTTATAATAATTTTTCTTTTATAATTTATAAGCTTAATATGAATTATATACTATTAGTCTAATTTTCTTTATTTCTTTATTTAATAAAATACTTATATATTTCTAATTTAATTAATAAGAAAAAATATTTAATTTATAGCTTTTAAAATTAATATAATTATTATAATTATTATAAAAGTAATTTCTTATAATATATATATTTATATATTATATTAAGCTTATTTTTTAAGTCTTATTTAAACGCGTATTATATTTTTAATTTTTAAAGAAAAGCTTAAACTTTTTATATTAATTAAAATATATTAAATATAAAAATAAAAATTTATAAATTTGTAATTTCGGTTTTTATAAGATTTTTTCAAGTATATATATTCTTTTTTATTTATTTCTCTTATAATATATATTAAACTATTTTATATTATTAAAGCTTTTTAAGCCTTTAAATTATTTCTTTATTTTTATTATATAATATATAGCTTTAGATATAATAATATATTTAATAATTTAAATAAAAGTAAAATAGTATTAAAAAGTAAATTAAATATAATTTTTATATATAAGATTATATTAAGGTTATTTAATAAGGTTTAATAATTTACTTATTTAATTATTCTTATAATTAAATATATTTTAATTAAAAAATACTTTATTAAATAATTATTAATTTAAATAAAAGCTATAATTATATAAAAAAAATATTTTAATTAAATATATAATTTCTTTTTAATATAATAAAAACAATTAAAAATTAATATTAAAATTATTATAATATTAAACTTTATATAACTAGTAAGCTTAATAAGCTAGCCTGACCTAGATATAAAAATATTTATAAATAAGAAATAATAATTATAAGAAAAATAAAAGAAAAAAATATATATAAGTATATTTAAAGAATAAAGAACTTTAAATATTAGAAAAGTAATTATTATAATAATTAATTTTCTATTTTTAAAAGAGAAAGAAAGAAAGAAAATTACTAAGTTTAAAAGAATTACTTGAAAAATTAATAATTATAAGAGAATTTCAAGAATTAATATTTTAAAGTTTTTGAAATAACTTTATTTTAATAAAAATTAAATATCTCTTTTTATAAATTAAAAAATAAACTAAATCTATTTTAAGTTATTTAATAATTTTAAAATAAATTTAAAACTTTTTTCTAATTAATATTAGTTTATTAATAATATTATAAAATAATATATTTTAAAAATAGAAATTATAATATTATAATATTAATATATTTTCTTTAAATTTATTAAGTTTAATTAAATCTAGTTTATAAAATAAGTTATATATAAAATATAAAATTATATAATAATCGAGTAATAATAATTTATATAATTATAATTATATAAATATTAAACTTTTTTTTTAATATATATATATATATAAATTAATTAATACTAGTTTATTAATAAATACATAATATTATTATATAATTATAAAATCCTATTTATATTATTTATTAATAAATTAATATATCCTAGAAATAGAAATTATAATATTAGTATTTTTTTTAAAATTTATTAAGTTTAATTATATATATAATATAAGTTATATAATATTTAAAGTAATAATAATAGACATAGTTATAATTATATAAATAACTTTTAATTAGGGATAGTAATAATAATTATTAGAGAATAATATAAAAGATATATAGAGTTTTGTATAGAGATAGAACTAGTAGGGTGGATTTTGCTTTAGCCGCCGCATAAGCGATATCATGTGATCTGACCTACTTTTCCTTCGAAACTTAAAACCGTTTCATTACAAAACAAGTCAATACAGGACAAGGGCAAGTAATCTTTACTACCAAGACCTCAATTGCGATGTCGCCTATCGAAAGACTCTCGTGGGAGGTCCTGGGCCTCATCCTGTCACGTTTACCCAAGAACGATGACGACCCGTCACTGCAATTCGGATTCGACGCGCCCCCACCGTCACCGTCACTTCTCCCTCTGTATGCCACCGTATGCAAGAGCTGGACTCAGCATATCGAGCGACGGACTTTCAAATCCATTCGATTAAAGAGCACGGAGTTGGACGAATTCTCCAGGCTCGTCAAAGGCCATCGAGCCGCCGCGCTCTCTAGTCTGAAATATGAGGTCGTCCTTCCTACTTATAGTGAGAATGCTTGCGCAAAATTCGAGACCAAGAAAGACCAGGGGCGGAACGATGCCGTGTTCATGGATGCAATTCATGATCTTTTCGAGGTTTTTAAGTCATGGGAGACGGATTCCAAAGCTGGCGGTGAGCGGGGAAATGCTCAGCCTGGGACGGAATCTAAAACTTCGACCAACTCTGGCTCTTTCGAATTTGTGTTGTCTGACATCTACTCTCCAATGGATGGCCCTCATCGAGGGAAAGACAAATACAAAGAAGATCGTATGCAATGGGAACTCGGAAAGCGCCACGACCTGTGGAACTATCGATACGAGCATTCTTTCTTGCAGCTCCGCCGAGCTGAAACTTTGCCGTCCATATCGCGAATCTCGAGCTTCACTACAAATAGCTGCTCGTCTCGAATTGTTGCACCCAGTTCCCTTGCGATTATGGCGTCCAAATTCACTAATTTGCAAAACCTTCAATGGGCGTGCGTTGACGACGAGAAGAAGTACCCCGAGGCCAGGGAGCAACTTCGTTATGGTGAGTGTTCTCAAACATTTGGGCTCTATGTATGCTAAAGATCAGCGCTAGACTTTGCTCAAAACCTTCAAGGTCTCTCTCTTCACTCGCTCGTAAGCGTCGACCTCGAATACAACCACGAGGCACCATCAAATCACAACTTCACCCCAATCACGGCCCTGCACTCCAGCTCACCCACCACCGACCACCTCAGCAAAGCTCTCCATCATCTCAGTCAAGCCCCTAATCTCACAACTTTCAAACTCGACGGGCCGATCGTCATCTCTCCCGCCCTATTCTGGCCTTCCTCTCCTGAAGGCACCACACACACCTGGCCCAAACTCCAACAATTCCACTTGAAGTTCAACCCTTGCACTCCGTCCGGCGGATGGTACTTCACGCGGCGCCCCTCCAAAACCGCAGACGACGACCAATGGGACTCCGAAGGCGAAGCCATGCGCGCACGTGATTCCGAGTCTGACACAGACAGTGACTCGGACGCCTCCGACAGCGCCATCTGGGATTCCTACCATCCGATCAAAGAAGGGCGTGCTCAGGGAACCATTCCATCGCGGATATTCAGGGACTACCCTATTGATGAGGAGATCTTGCCGTTGTTGAAAGCGATGGCGAAGGCTGTGGCGCGCATGCCGGCTTTGCAGATGCTGAGTGTGATGGGAGCTCCGGATGGGAATCCGGATGCGGTTTTTGAAGTCGCTTTCATTGAGGCGGGAGTGTCGGACTTGATGGACGAGAATCCGGAGGATTCATTGAGGCCTAGACTTTATTGGCAGACGGGCGATTGGCGACCAGCTGAGGAAGTTCTTGATTTGTGGAAGGAAGCAGCACGGGGGCTGTTGGTCAAGTTTTTTGAGTTTTAGCTTCTCTTGGGTATGTCATGGTATTCTATGAGAATATATTGACCTTCTACTCAAATCTATGACTCAATCTCTCTTTCTTGAACGTGGTGGCTCTGTCCCGTTCGCTACTGATAATGTCTAAACTCCGCAATACCTCACATCCAGCCCCATACCAAAGGTCTACAAGACAGCAAATCAGCACTAAAATGGTTCAGGAACAGCTAAGACTTGATCAACACGGTGTTTTTGACTTTGGCACTCAGAACAACTTACATCCACTATCATATGCGCGGACAATCAACGTGATAATCACATACATCCCCGCCACACAGATAAAACCCCCAGCAAGCAACGTCAATATACTGAACACAAGCATGGTCGGTCTGCGCGTCCAGGCCCCCGCTTTCTCCCCAGTCATATAATAGTTATCATGAAGCCAGAACGCCCCCGCAATACCACGTAATAGGTCGCAGCGAAGCCTTGCAGTATATAAGCGGCTTTCATGGCGTCCTTGGGATTTCGCATTTCTGAGATGAGGGTCGGGATGGTGAAGATTCCGGTAAAGATTCCGGTGTAGAGCGTGCGCTTGACTATGCTGAAGATGATGTAGCTGGCGTCTCTCATGTTGTGGACTTCGGGTTGGTTGAGCTTACTTTTTGAGGTGAGTGGTGGTTTTGCTGAGTGTTAAAACATATTTTGGCCTTTTGAAAGCTTCTTATTCAGCGGCTTGTTGTCGCCATACAGTAGGCATGACAGCAAAGGAGAGCTTCTCAAATTTCAAGCACACGCAAGGAGGCAATGAAACTGCAGCACCCACAATTGGACGAGCAAATAAGCAGTAAAGGTACCAAAGACACCGAAAAACTATCCAACATGAACATCAACATCTCATTCTCCCCATCATCTCAGCATATATACCACAATCAAAATCATATTCGGCACCAGCTACAGCTCACCACAATCAGCATCCTGCCACTCCGCCTGACATCCAAACACTAGATCAGAACACCCACCTCAATAAACCCCGCCCCCCCACTCGTCGGCAAACTCAGCATCCCATTCGACGCAATCTCCGTAATCTCCGCAATCATAAGCACAGCCACCAGCTGCCAGCTCAGCGTCTTATACTTGATCTGGTGATGCTCCTCATCGCCGAAGACGTCGCGCTCGCCGGTCACATGCCGGGTTGTTCCTGAGGTGATGATTCCCTCTTCTTCGTATGGGTGCGGCTCGACTGTGGCGCGGTAGGCGGCGGCGTGTTTCTCGTCATAGGTTTTCACCGTCGATGTGTATATATGTTATTGAGACAAGACGAGCTGGTGGTGGATACTGCAGGTCATATCCTAGAAACTACGAGGGTGGAGGTGAGGCCAGGTTAAGGGAGATGTGAATATGCTACCGGTAGTGCATGTTGGGCTGGGTATAGCCCGCAATACTGGACCGCGATAGTGACATGTAGCAATACTAACGAACTGTCTCCGGACAGTCGAATCGACAGTCGGTTTTAACCCGAGTAGGTTCGATTCTGCCGCGTTTTCGAGCGCTATCGCCACTTGGTGGGGGTTTGTATGGTCGCACGGTAAGCTTTGAAATTCCATCAGAAAAACTCCAAGTCGAAGAATGAAGATATATATAAGGGCCCAAGATAGCTATATTAATATAATAATTATATATTTGACTAAAAACTATAACTCTATTAATCTCCACGTATTAAATCAAGGAGTATACTAGACTAATTACCTCATTTTTATATATACGGAAAACTAATTTAAAGGAGAAATAAGGAGAGATTAAAGGAGAGATAAAGAGAGAGTAAGGCTATAATTTAGTTAGTAATTTTAGTAAAGCCCAAAAACTAATAATATATTTACCCCTTACTATAGGCTTCTAAAAAGTAATTCTACTATTTATATATTTACTAATTATATTATATTCTTTATCTTTAGCTTCTTCTTTTTACTAGTATTCTTCTTATACTATTTCTCCTTCTTTTAGTAATTCTAGAATACTTGCTTTTTTATAGGTTTATAAATATACTTATAGAGAAATAATTTAGTTAATAGAAGAATAAAAGTAAGAGAAGTAGTTAATATAGGACAAGTTAGTATAATTAATACAGGAGATATATACTATAAAAGCTCTTGAATTATTAGAAAGTAGAAGGAATTAGAAGAATTAGAGAAATTGGAATTATTATTAGAATTATTATTAGATAATATTTTAATTAAAGTTCGAATCTATAAAAGAATAGGTTCTAAATAAAAGAAAGATATATATTTAAGATACTATAGAGCCTCAGAAGCCCTAAATACTACTTATATCTTTATAGCTTGAGATTTAGGAAGTTTAGGATAATTAATTTAGGTTATAGTTAAAGTTAGTAGGCTAGCAAGAAGAGATAATAAAGGTAAAAAATTATTAATATTAGAGAAATTATTAAATAGAAATAGATATATTATCTAGTAAAATAGTTCTTTATAATATTATTATAATATTAAGCTTTTTTATTATATAATTACTTTTATATCTTTTTTATAATATTTCTTTATTTTATCTTCTTTTTAGCCTTTTAATAAGCCCTAGATCTATTTATTTCCTCTTATTTAATTATCTCAAGTCTAATAAATATATACTTCTGGCCTAATATAAATTTTAGTAGTTATTATAGAAGCTAAAAACTAAGAAATCGAGTAAAGAAAGCACTTTATATAATAGCTTAATCTATAGCTTTTAATTAAAGATATTATATAAGAAGTTAAATAGCTTTAGTAAATTATAATATATATTTAAATAGAAGTTACTTATAATATTTAGCTAATTCTATAGTAATATTAAGAATTACCTGCTTTTTATAATTCATAAATTTATTTCTAATATATTATAATTCCGATTATTAGTTTATATTTACTATTTTTCGTAAAAAATAAAAGAGCTATTAATAAGCTATTAAGAATAAAAGATTATTCTAATAAAAATAAGCTATCTAATATTATAATTAGAATTCATTTTTAAAATTAAATTTATAAAAATAATACTTTTTTTTAAATTAATCTAATATTAATTTTATAAGATAATATTTTTCTATAATAAGTCTAAAATAATAATATATGAGTTTCTAAAAATATTAGTAAAAGAATAACTTATTAATTAATTAAAGATCTATTAAATAGCTCTTATTAAGTAAATTATTATATCTTTTAGATAAAGTATTTAGCTTTTTAGTAATAATTTTAATTACTTTACTAATAGAAATGTTTTTATTTAACTAGCTAGAACTAATATAATATTATTTCTTATTTCTTTAAGTTAAATTAGTACTCAAATTCGGATATTTTAATATATAAATATAGGAAAATATAGACTTTTTTAATTCGTAATAACTAGTTAAATAAATATATTCTATAAAATATATATAATTAAAAAGAATTTATTATATTATTTTTAAAGCTTTAAAATTAAAAGCTTTTATTTAGTTCTAGATTAGATTTAGTATAGATTTATATAATACTTTTTAAATAGCCTTTTCTAATTAGTCTAGCCTTAATTATATTAATTATATATTTTTAATAATATTAAAGTATTATAATATTACTATTTTATAATAGAATTAATTTCTTAATATTAGTAATATAATCTATAATAATTATTTAAGAATTAGGCTTATATAATTGGAATTAAGGGCTTCTAATAATAACTTTATAATTCCTACTAATTTCTCTAATATTATTAAAATTATTACTATTAGAATTACTAAAATTATCTGTTTTCTTTTTATCTTTTATAATATAATTCTTTCTAGACTTAAGTACTTTCTTTCTCTTTTTAATAGCTAATTGAGTAATAGATACTACTAATCCGGTAACAAAGTCTTTAGCTAAAACTACTAGTTCTAGATAGTTATAAAAAATAAATTATTTTTATATTTTCTTAACTTTTTTAAAAACACAGGCCTTTTTACTAGTAATAAATAATTATATAATATAATAGCTCTTTCTATAATTATTAATTCTTATAAGATTATAAAATAAAAGGCAATAGTATTTCTTATTAAAAGTAGTATTAGTTTTAAATAGAAATCTCGAAATAAATTAATAATTAAAGCGAATTTACTCGGAAATATATTATATAATATATTAAATAATATAATTTATCTTATTTCCAAGATTATTAAATATATATATCTTATTAATAAAGATATAATAGCTATAATTATTAAAGTAAATAATAATTAATTAACCTTTTTTTTTAATTTAATAGCTTTATTTTACTTTATTTATATTATAGGTTATAAAATTCTTTTATTTAATCTTAAGGCTCATTTTTTAAAGAATTCCTAATAATGTCCTAAAACTAACTATTTCCCGATATATTTTAGTAATATATCTAGCCTTTAAATATTTAGATTAATATAAATAGTAAGGTACTAAGGAAAAAGAATTAATTATATAAGAGTAATTATACTTAAAATATTTACTATAATAAAAAATCTATTAATCTTCTTATTTCTTTTTTTTACTAATATAAAAGTAAATAGAATAATTAGTTCCCTAAATAAATATACTTATATATTATTAACTAGCTTCTTTTATTTAATAACTATTCCGAATTTTCTTTTTATAAAAGATATAGTTCTAGTAAACTTTTATTAATTCACGATATTTAATTATAAAAGCAAATTCCTAAATAAAGACTATTACAGTTCTGGTTTCCACGTTCTGGTTACCTGACAGCTAGTATGGGAATGCGCATGGAGATATTTAGGACGCTAGGCCCCTTAGGGGCTAGCTTATTATAGGGTGCACTTAAGCCCACAGCCTCCTATATTCTAGCTTTCCCTCCTTAGCTTTGAATCGTCTTCGTAAGGGACCTTCTACCTTGCTTTCCAAGCCCTAAATACCGTACCCGTAACAAAGACCTAGTTCTATAGGTATTAGAATATTATATTAGAGCTAGAAATAATTATATTATTTCTAGATTATTAATATTTTGAACTAGAAATGGCCTTAATTATAATAATGATTTATTTAGCTAATTAGGAATATATTATTATTATTTTTAATAGTTAGAATTAGAGAAATATAAGAATTAAATTAAGGAGATTTTAGACTTTTATAATATAATAATAAGTAGTTTTTAGTAATAGTTATTATATAATCGAGTACTAATAATTATATATAATAGCCAGCTATTTCTTTCCTTTATTATTAGTTATACTTATTACTAAACCTCTAAATAGTAATATATTTCCATTTTTAATAACTCCTATAAATAGCATATCGGGCCGACGCAAATTCGGCCTCGAATACTACCAAAGTCACTATAGCTTGAGTCAAGATATCATATGAATAATGAGAACTGCGGGGAAGCTGTCAAAGCGTTCTAAAGCACGCTTTACTGCCTTACTTATCGATTCTTATCGGGGACAGTCCGACTGTCGATTCGACTGTCCCGAAACAGTTCGGTGGAACCTTACACCTTATACGGCTATGCTACGCACTATACTCTGCTACTACGAAAGAACTCTTCACACAACACACTGCTATATAGAAACTCAGTACGGAGACGGAGAGGCTAGGACTCCAGGAGGGGCCGGAAGGGTCGGATTGATATACTTGGACAGACCCATCTCGTCCGCCCAGCGGAACGCATTACGTCCGAGATGCCTTGACTAGCTGGGCCACAATACTTGTCCAGGATTTAGCCGAAAGCAAGGCGACGCGGCATCTTGACAGCCCCACCGACGAAGGGCTTGAGTACTTAATGTCAGGCAACCCCCAGTGGCCATGCCTCAATCATTCTCTTTAGTTCAAGCACACCCTTCACCTCCTTGTACGGAACATTTGTAATGGACGCAAGCGACTTATCTACTAAATTGTGGTTAGATATCGCTCAGATAATAGATGTCCAGCAAGATTTATTAAGTCGCTCGCAGGACAAGATCCTCAAATCTAATAAGGTAATCGAAGATCCTATATACCTGTTTAGATAATTTGTCTCTGCTACAACTTTAGATATGTTAAAGGATATCTAATTTCGGTTAGAGGTAAGTTAAAGGATATTATTCTATTCCTTTAAGAAAGCTAATTGCCAATTATAGTTCTTAATATTTATATAAGATTTTTATATAAAGGTATTATTTATTATTAAATATCTCGTTTAAGAAATCCTCAAATACTTTATAAATAACTTTAAACCTAAAGTTCAAGAACCTAAAGAATATTAGTTAGATATTAATTCAATAAGATTATTAAGAAGAAGAAAGCAATTAAATCTTACTGTAGCGGGTCAAGACCCGGTTTTTATGCTTGGTATACAGTGCTTGTACTAAGCCCACCCTTATATAATATCACTCCTTATTTCCCAGAAATCAGGGCTCGCTTTTAGCTTCTCTCCTCAATGAATTCTCCTTGTATCAAAACCACCAGTCTTCTTTGTATAAAGGCCTGGCCCGCGATATTAGAATTCATTCTCCTTTAAAAACCCCGGAAATTTTTTGCGAAGGGGTGAGATAGAGGCTTTTAGCCCCTCTCTAGCCGTCGTTCCTTGGGGACGAGCGAAGCAGAGAAGGAAGACAAACGGAAGCCCTTGCGGACTGCGAGGCCAGCGGACGAGCAGCCTGCAGAGGCTTAATAATACCTGCAAAAACCCTCACGCCCGACTAATTTTTCCTGCCTTCCTGCTTTCCTTCCTGCTTTCCTGCCTTCCTGCCTTCCTGCCTTCCCGCCTTCCCGCCTTCCCTAACCTTACGCCGCAGCGGGCTTCTTGGTTCCTACGAGGGGACCCGTGCTTGAATCCAAGTTCAGCTATAGAAAGGACGTCAAGGATGTTGAGAATTCGCTACACAGATCTTGAGACTGCCAAAGCTGGTCTCGACGATTCTCCTTTCCGCCGCTCCTGGGAGGTTGTGGAGCTTCGAACTTCTAACACAAATCCGCACTTGAATTACTGCTGGTATGACTGCTTCACTGAAATGCAACTGGAAGTTGTTGCGCTTCTCCTCTTTGGCCGTCAAGGATTGGAAAGTGTCTTTGTTAACATCCTGAGAATTGACCATGACGGAGTGATATATGCCGGTTATTTATTAAACATCTTTTGTTTCACCGGGGTTGATGTACCGGAATTTCTGGAATCATACGTGAATGGACAATGGATGAGCATAAAGTGGTGTGTCGGGTAGAATAAAAGAATTTACTCGCGCGAATGAATGAAGATTCCTTATTTATGTGCGGATCACCTCTCGAAGCTTGCTGATAAAAGAGATATGCATCTTCTGAACGACCAACTAGTGACACACCAAGTGCGAGGCCAATATTTGCTTGTCTATGCCTATTTCTAAATAAATACCAAATTGGCCGCTGTTCAGCCAGCACCAATTGGAAAATCATGAGACCATCGGGGTGTTCAATTGAATACAGGACCGAACCCTTCGGACCAAGATCCTTGGCTTCCTATTCTCATCATCTTCTATTCCACTGTAGTTTGAAAAATATCTGCTCTGTAGAACATTGAAATGGTTGTTGGATGACTGGGTAGCCGACTCCTGGCGGCGCTCCTCTAAGACAACGGAATGGGTGACAAACGGGTGCCATCTGTGCTGGTGATGAATTCGGCTTTGTTAGCCCAATTGCAGCACAGAATCTTCCAGATGCTTCAACAAACTCCGGACGTGAATGCGCCTTCCTGACTTCTTCCAAGATGGTCCGCGAGCTTGCGGATATCAAAATATCATCCCCTATGTCTCGATCCTCGCCTAATCCCCCTTGTTCCATCTCGGCTTCCCAGCGCTTTCGCCTTTCATCAGCCGGGACGAAACTGCTCATCCAACCCCATTGTCCCGATTTCTGTGACACTAGGAGCGTTGCGATAAAAGCTAGAGCGGCTCAGTAACTAGAAAACACGATGTGACCCAGTCTATCGTCAAAAGCCTAGCGTAAAGGGTAGAGGCACGTAAGTAGTAATATAATAAACTTTATATAATCGTAAGCACTACTCATTCAAGTTGCAATAGCTACGAAGATGGCTGTTTGAACTGAGGCACGACGCTATGTTAGAATAGACTTCAGGGCAGCTAGAGGCGTCTTCCGCAGTGTGTCAAATAATTAGGTTTGATTTGATTAGACCCCCCTACTCAAATCAAATCAAGTCAAAATCAAGCTAATCAAATCATACTTAATTATAATCAAAGATAATCAAAGATAATTAATTAGATTTATCACGTGATTACGCACATAACTCTGGAGCTTCGGAAGCCGAGATAAGGCTAAAATAAGGTCTGGGCTAGCCGTATTCGGTATTACTAAAGGCGCTCTTTACTAAACCAGGCCTAGTACTAATTAGTAAGCGAAGCCAAAGGCGCTAGAACCTCCTTGATTTCCAGTGATTCCTTGCCACTAATAAAGGAGCTATAAATAAACCCTTATAATAATTAAAAAAGAAGAAATAAGAATATAAGAAAATAAGAAAATAAGAAGGGAAAAGAGAAAGAGATTTCCAAAGAAGAAAACTATTAAGATAAAGTAATATTATGGTAGTAGTAAAGAGTTTGAATTGAGCTATTTGCCAGGCTAAGGAAGCACTGGCCACATGCTAATTCACGTGTAATAGTATCACGTGACTGGTACCACGTAACAAAAACTAGTTTGTTATTTTAGATTTAGACTAATTTTATATTCTTATATATGCTTTATACATTTTATTTATATCTTATTAATATATATACTAGTTATTTAATAATCTTTAAAAATGTCTAAGAAAGTATACTTCTGTATTATTACATAATAATTATAGTTACTTATAATTAATTATAATAAAAATCAAGCTAATCAAATCATACTTAATTATAATCAATTCTAATTAATTCTAATTAATTAGCCTTGATTATTTTTTGATATACTGGTCTTCCGTTTACGTGCCATTTCTAAGGAAGAAGACGGGGTAAACAGTACACAAGTATCCGCTCCCTTCTCCTCTTCCTACTATATGGCCAGCTCCTTCTAAGCCAGCTCCTCAATAAGCGCATACTTTTCGTTTCTTTTTCTATACAGTCCCGCACTCCCTGTCCCTGTCTTGCTCACTCCTCATAATCTCGACCTTGCGTCTGCATCATCACCTCTAATCATTCGCTTTCACTGCCTTGAAGCTAACCATGACAGAAAGTGTATAGAAAATCAACGAGAGTGTCCTAGTTCCGCACGACCGTACACTTGCGCTCTGCTATCCGCCACTTCAGCTAACCTAGTAGGCGCGTTTGGAGCAGAAGAATGGTACCCCGCTGGTGCCCGAGTCACCTCTGGCCCCTTGCGGTCGACATCATATTTCGAGGGATATGCTGGTTGAATGCTCGTAGTTGGTCGCGCCATCCTCGTCTCCTCCACCATCGCTGGCGCCCCGTAGTGGTTGCTTGTATTATTTCGTCTTGCGCGGTCCTTCCTTCCAAACAAGAATGCGAGGTAGACCAACAGAGCAACAATTGTAATGCCGACAACAACGCCCCCAGCTATTCCACCAATAACGCCGCCAGAGATGCCATTTTTGTCTCCGGATGATGAATTGCCACCAGAAACACCTGTAACAGCTGGTGGTGAGCCGCTTCTCGTCGTCGTCGGGCTAGGAATGTTACCTGCTAGTCCACTAGTGGGAACTACAGAACCTGCGCCGCCCTGAGAGGTCGTAGTCGCGGAGTTCCTGTCGCTTGGAGAGGTGCCAACACTCGAAGGGATAGATACTGTCCCAGTAACTTGGGTTACCTAATATGCCCCATATCTACTTAGTTCTCTCTTTTCTGCTTGATCATTGTAGGCGATGATATCTGGCTGGACTAAGAGACAGACAGGAGAATATAAATAAAGGGATATCATACCGAAAGAGCCAGTGCTGTGCTCGCCACTGCAACTGCTTCATCCACGCAAATGCCGGATAGTAGACCGACTTGGCCAGGCTGGCAACAAAGTCGGCGCGTATCGGTATTGCTATATGTATATGCAATCCAACTAGTATTGGCACAAATCGGGACGGCTTCTGCATACGAGCTGCAGTCGTTCTCTACACCCTTTAAAATTAGCCAATTCTTGCTCGATATATGCATATCAAATAATAGATATTTCTGAGCTGTGCGTGTTGCTGCTCGGATGCCTTCTCATAGGGTTGGGGCAAAGATGAAGAGGAATACCTACTATCAGGGCAGCACACCTGAGCGCCGATTAAGTACTCAGAGCATACGGTGCTACTTGGACAGCAATATCGACTGGGATTGCATGCCATTGTCTGATCTGGGCAGGCACCAGGTGTGTAGACGGCCCAGCCGGCCACGAACGCACTCCGTTCTGATAGAGAATTTGCGACAGCTTGGGGGGCCACTTGTAGGACGTTGCTGCGAGTGCCGTGAACAAAGGGAGATAGGACAAGAAGGAGAAGTCGTAAAGCAGGGGCGTTGCTGATACCCATCATTGTAAGAGATTCTTGCCAAATTTACTGGCCTGTGTGTGTTATGTGTGAACCGTGAACGTGTATGAGGCAGATTGTCAAAATATGGCGAGGGTCTCAAGAATGCTCGAACTGGCGGAGACGCGAGATGATATGCACAGCAGAAGAGTTGTTAGTTATGCGCAGTCAATTTTAGGGGACCAATCGGCCACCACTAGAAACTCGATAAGGGAAGGAGGAGCATGAGAGAACACAAAAATTAGAATCTCTGTGGGCAGTTTCAGTTTCAGTTTCAGCGGCAGTTGCAATGCAACGGCAATGTGAATGGTGCAAAGGGAAAACTTAACGCCGCAAGCCTTTGATGGCGGCTGCCGAAGGGAATCAGCAGACAGGAATAGCTGCACATTCTCCAAAAATTGAGAAATCATCCTGAAGTAGTGACCTCTAAACGCCTGGTTGCCGAGTGCATTCAGCTTTCTAGAGCAAAAGATATGATTCGTGGAGGGTTTCTCAGCCCTCCCTGCCAAGCTTCCCATCCTTAGTCGCCAAAACATTCTGAGTAGTCACTTCTGGCCAGTTACCACTCGCTATTTCCAGAAAATCTGCAAGGCTTCGGGAACGGTGGAGAGACTAGACACCTGCCAAGACAGTATGGGCGCCAGACACCTACCAATTCATGGCTATTAGTTAAGGGAGCTCGTTGATTGGGACCTGGTCGATGAAGGGACCCGGCAAAGCTGTCTAGCGAATCCGAAGACCGAGGACGAATGTGGGCAACCTCTAATGAGCAGGGCAACGAGGAGTAACCCTAGTATTGTCTCACCGGATTGATATGCACCGGTGGGAGCTCGATAGGTCGGGCGAAATAGAGCATTGAATAGTAGAAGACACATGAGGTCGATACAAGAAAGAAAATCATCCTCTTGCGTATTCTCCCTATTTGAGATAAAAATAGGTTTCTATCTTTAACTTGATTCCATCTGGCTCATAAGCGTGGTGGCAGTTCAAAAATAATCATGCGTCCTATGAAAACACGAAATTTCAGCCTTGTGTTACCGCACCTCGGTTCACTGGACAGCGAATGGTCACTGAGCCGCGCAAATGCACCATTCACAACCTAGGATCCATGCACATTGTCGGGGAACACAACAACTTCATGCACGCTCAAGCCTCAGCTTTGCGCTTAAGCACAACTGAAAGGATTCTGCCTCACTTGGGCCTAATCGCGGCCAGTCACAGTCCTGGGAGTTGGGAAATTCTCCCTCTAAGATTTAAAGTACTACGATTTAAAGTACTATGTGTGAGGGTTTGAAGTCAAGGTATATATTAGTTCTAGACGCAAGACGTAGCACGAGGAATTAAGAAGAAGATTAAGGTTCCCGCGTTCTTTAGTGAAGTTAAACGGGATTATATAGTATTCAAGCACGTGCCGAACGCGCCCTTCCGTGGCACTGGGGTTTGAAAATACTATGATTTAAAGTCTTAGAATCTAAAGTAACTTATTAAGATTTAAAGTATTATAATTAACTATTTTACTATTGGAGTGTTTTGATAGTTTACCGCCTAAGATCCTGCCCTGCCCTGCAATCGGCATTAAATCTAGTCTCCGATGTCATCTAATTCAAAGAATCTTTTTTGCTTAAACAAAGATCTGCCGTACAGAATATTCGCACGACCCGGCTCTGGATTGCATCCTGCGGTGCTTTCCCTCTCGTCTCCCTGACATTGCTCCCATTGTGTAGACTTAGGCTATCCCTCCTCCTTTAGCCACAGAGCTGTGACTTTCTTTACATGTTATCTCGATATACTGCCTCGTATGATCTGGGGGTGATTGCCAACACCGCGCTCGTAATGATATCCATAGGGAAGGTCGCCTTCGATAAAGCTGAACCCTCCAGAAAACAGGTTGTACACTCGGTTGTTAAAGCCTGCAAGGTCAATCCTGAAAGTATTAGCTGGTGTTTGAAAGCTGATACGCCTGGCTCCCTAAATCATTCTTTAAGTTCTTGAAATATCGTAATATACCACCATTAACCTTCTTAGCAATCTTCTTTAGGAGCCGTTTGTACGCGTTACCTCTGCCCTCACCGTAAATGGGTGTCATATTGACGTCGAATATCCCGAGTAGTGAGTATGCCTTGTCTTCTTTGCGCTTGGTTTGGGGGTTTTCTGCCTATGACATTATGACAATAAAGAATATCAGTCGCAGGCATAGGGTATGTTGATCTGAGTATTGTCTCTATATGCAATATGCTAGTAACTGAAGCCCGAGCACACACGCAAAGACTCAAATAATCGCGAAGTGTGTCTCATTCCTGACCCTCTCGCAGACTTCCAGCAGATGTCTCCTGCTCACTCTCAAATTCATCAGGTAATACGCAATCCAAGTCAACTGCCTGGCTCGAGCGGATCAGGAATGATGCCTCCTCTCTTCCGGTGACAGAAGGAGACCAAAATGTGCGGGACCAAATCTGGGCATCGCTCCTTCAGCTCGGCACACACGTTTTCCGAGTCGAATTTGCCTCCCTTCGGAGTCGGAATGAACAAAATCTGGCTCCAGTATTGGTGACGCTGCGCAAACGGTTGGGCGAGAATCTTGGCTCGCTCCCGATCACCAACAGCCAAGAGGAGACTGAGGCCAATGTAATCGACACCGTACGTGATGGCAGTTGCCTGGAAGGACTGAACTCCCGGTGGCCGAGGGTTGATCTCAATCAACCATGCACTTGGCTGAGGCACCCCACTCGAGGCTGACGAAGAGGCTGGACGGCGCTCTAAGTCGAGAATGCCATTAACCTTGGCGTAATGCATTTTTGAATGTTGTACTCGGGCTTCCAGGTGAAAGATGCCATCCCTGAATCCCAACTGCAGGAGGCGCTGATGTAGGGACTTCTCAATTATTTGCAACTCCGGCTAGGGAAGATTGGACGGAAGGACATTGGCCTGCTCTATGAAGGTGCCATTAGGTCCTTCTTCAGCCGAGGTGGGGAAGTCATCAGAGGCTTCGAAGAAAAGGATCTCCCCGTCAGCAAGGACGAAATTGGCATCCACTTCTGGACCGTCGCAGTAAGGCTCCATCAAAGCATCCTTGCCGTGGAGTTTCACGATGGCTGATATCGCATGGTCCAGGTCTTCGAAATTCTGCACGAGAAACACGCCTTCGGACAGGAATCCTGCGACTGGCTTCAGGATGAGCGGGAAATAACCCCCCCCCCCCCCCCCCCCCCCCCCAAAAATCAATGAGAGACTTTGCGTCCTCCAAAGTGGACACGCGATGGGCCGAATGGCCATCCAATAGGCTTGTTCGAAGCTTGTCCGTGGCAACCTCGAAGGCCTCTGCTGGAGCACGTGCAACCCGAGTCTCTCTGCGGCTTTGGCTGTAGCTGCAGCTCGTGGGTCGAACAAGGTGATGATTCCATCAATCTTGTGACCTGAGCCCTGAATCGCCTCAATAATATGATCTGACAGGCTCTCATCGACTGCCATGTCAATGATGAGGAAGTCTTTGTACCACGACCGGTACTTCTGGAAAGCCTACGCTAGTATTTTCTCATAATAGTAAAACGTTTACTTATGTAATAAATACTGGCTGAGTGAAATGACCTAAAGGAGCCGTTTTGGCTCTCAGAACCTCTAGTTATTTGGAAGCTATACTATATAGTTGGGGTTCACTGAATTCTTTATTCCAATAGCTTTTAAAACAAATAGTAATCAAAAGGAGATCAAGTCTCACTTCTGCTCAATTTCGGAGATAATATAGGAAATTAGTCTTTTAATACTATTAAAAAATACCGACTCATTTACTTTAATAAGCTTTCGAAATATTAATCTAATATTATTAGTAGAAATTTTATAGTTATAAGCTTAAAAACGACCTGATTAGATTAAAAGAGATTTTTATTTGAATTTATAAATACTTCTTATATCTGAACTTTAAGGCATCTAAAGTTAATAAAGCAAATAAGCCCTAGAGTGCTTGCAATCGAGAGGCCTTCGATCTTTTTGAAACGATCCACCTGGAGAGGTTGGCCCAGTCCACGATTAGGCTGGGATTTTCCACGGGCGTGCATAGGAAACTCAATCAGGACTCTCACAGTCGCGCAGCTGTTCGATTCTCCATCTCACATGCTATCAGATACTCGAGAGGCGGTCCCGAGGTTTTCAGTCAACCGTTTTCGAACATCATGGAGTTGTATTTGACACTATGTGGCCAAGGGAAATGCGGAGTAATACTAATACGAGATCCCATATTAACAAGTCCTGGCCGTCAATTCTTATCTCACGACAATCCCGCTCCACTGCCACCTCATGAACACCAGAAACGAGAGCGAGGGTAATGAAGAGCGTCAATACATAGCCCAAACATAAGATAACTAGAAATAAGATCGCATATTTGTAGGAGAGCCTCCTTGGGCGTCAGTTTCAAATTCCTTGCCCGTGTCAATGACGATTTCCAAGTGAAATTAGGACGTCACAGCTCCTTCCTGGGACGCCAAGGCATGCGCTGCCCGGACGACATTCCTGATCTGAAGGAGGAACCTGTCAGCGTGTGAACTCATAACTTCTACGAAACAGGTACCTACCTGGCGGCCATTGAGATCGTGCCTTTCCTAATCATCTCGCAATTGTCCCATGACCGATTCGCTGCCAGTTGGATCGCTGAATCGCTCACACTTTTCCTCCTCGTTAGATGCGGCGCACTGAGGTATTCCCAACTTCACCTAAGGTCCGGTTTTCTCGGGACTCATTCTCAAATTTCCCCGCCGATCCATCCTCGATATGAATGTGTTTTACCAAGGTTCTGACTTGATCCTCGAGGTCCTTCTCATTTATAGCTCCACAATCTCTCAGATGAGTTAGTAACTTCCTAAAGAAGTTGCGGGCGAATGTAGCACAATCATCGACTATATCGCGATGATTTCGCGGACATGATTGAACCGCTATGTGCTTTAATAATCGTTCCGTGGTGCGGACTTGGAGCAACTCAATGTGGCGATAGAACTTTAGCGGAAACATCCTTGGCTCAAGAGCTAACACCATCTCGTCTGGTTTTCCACCGACTTTATTGAAACAGAGATGAAGAAGTCTGAGATTGTCTTCCGTGGGAAGTTCGCCATTGACCTGCTCGGTAATCTTCGACACAAAACGTAGTGTTAACTGTTCGTTCAAGTCGTGATCCCGCAAGACAACAGCTGCATGACCGAGGTGTATTTTACCATCACTGATGTTCTGATCGCTGACGAATGCAACCCCGATCTGATAATCTCTCTCTTGATTCTCTTGACTTAGCTTTAGGAAATTCCATACGGCTTCTTTGTCTCTTTCTGGCTCAGCCATCATTATGTCTTCGTCGTCGAAGCCATAGGGAGAGTCTGCGATAGGGCGGGCACCGGAATTTGTGGAGCTTGTGAAAAATCTGGAGTAATGGACAGCTTGGTCGGTGGAATTGAGCTCATCCGAGACGAGCTTGGATATCTCGGAGGTTGTCGGTACCCGAAACACTTTGGTCTCGCTTTCCCTATTTGGAGGGCTTTCCTTGGACGAGTTTTTCCCCATTTTCTTTTTAGATAGATTAGCAACATGAATGCGTGGTGAGGACTGTCTTGTTACCTTGAACAGGCCGAGTTTACGTTTGCTTGAACACCTTGCGTCGCTCCTTATGTTTTTGGCTGCTCTCAATTCTCGTATTTAGCTGGGGAATGAGGGGTAAATTATCTTGATATGCCATACGATCAGTTCGATCCACGTGGCGCTCTGAGGTGCGCTTATTTGTTTGCCAGTTTTCAGTCGGCCTTGAGGGGGAAAGCTGTGGTCACGTTATATCGTGGGCTACTCGGTCACAACATTTGGGTGCTGAGTCCAAATAACTCCCACACAGTTAGTGAGAGAACGCTGCTTGTGCAACCCACAGGAGCCCAGGTGGTGTGATGACAGGGAGTCAACCCTTGTTAGTGGCGCCCAGTAGTACTATGACTATTCTATTGTGAGCCAAGCTGAAATTCCAAGGCAAACTCGGCACAAGATTGCGCCCGATTGAGCAATAAGATTATCAAGGCATTTGTCAGAGCCTTCTTTGGCATGGCTCGCAGCCTTGCAGCCTTGCTGTCGAGTCGGCACTAATGCAAGCAGTCACAAGAAACGTCTTAGCCGGGCGCTGCCTCCAACCCTTACGACCACACCATGACAGAATCCAGGTTTGGCGCAAAGCTTTCCGGTGAAGATAGTGTGCTGCTGCCTGCAAAAGAGGCTATGACCCGTACAGATTTCAGTAACCCTCCATGAGACGCCACTACTTCTTATCACCGCTTGGACACAAATTTCCTAATACTCAAAAGGACACCAACCTGGTCTGCAAAACTCTCTTTTGAACGAGGCCATTGTGGATCGTCTTTAAAGATGTACGAAGAGCTTAACACCGTTCTATCCGCTGAGCTCGTCAGCCTCTCCCCGAAACAAAAGTTCTTCCTTAGCTTGCTTTTACTCTTTGTCATTCCCAGTATCCGCGTTACAATTTTTAAGTTCTTGCCATCGAGTTCTATTAAACACCTCTTTTTATTCCCTGCAGCACAAGTCTTCGTCGTCGAGTTTCTGTTTCGATCGCCTAGTATCTCCGTCAGTCACGTTCTGGTTACTTTTCTAGTTTTGGCCGTAAGCATAGCAATTTACACCTCTTTGATGATCTAGCTAAATTAACCTATAGGCTGTCATTCTCAACATTACTTATTTCAATTATATTTTATTTCATCAACGGGTGCTACGAGAGTATGGAAACCAATCGAACGAGATTGAATCGTTTGAGCTCGCATGGGAATGTAGTTTTGTAAGCTTTAATTGACTGTTGGAAGCTCATAATTTAACCAACTGCTTTGATAGCCTGTAAATGTAGTCCAGCAAGTTGGCACCAACCTAGTCATGGTTCTTATCTGTCGGCATCTGGGATACTCGGGTTTATCTATCAGTCGAACAATTTTGCTCGGATTTGTATCAATTTGGACAGAACGAGTTTGCATTCAACTTGTTTGGTATTTCGGAAGTCCGCCTGAGAAGAACCCTTATCGTGTATTCTTCACTCATTGGGGTTCTTGCGCCGACAAGGGACATTGGCTACTGCAACTGGAAGACTGTCGCTACCACATCATGAAACGACACGGCAGCTCTACAGCAGACCTAAGTCCGGCACCAAGGAGTGAGCAGGCACATGCTCCACCTCCACAAGAGTCTTTATACATTCCCTTTTGCCAGTGAGCCTTCCGTTCCCGCCCCTTTTATTTAACTAACGTACGTTAAGATATGGCATCGTGGGACTCTCAGATAGGCATACATTAGGGCAATGGGAAGATTTTATTCAAAAATGCATCCAACCTGGTGGTTATAATGTGTCGAATCAAAGCTGCCAGGAGTATGTAATCTTCAACATGTATTACTTGTGTTATCCGCCATTGTTTAACATGTCGGACACGAAGAGCTTAGGCCCTATCATATTGGTTGTCTTTCTTTCCTATGCTCCCTTGTTATATAGATTATTATTTCAGATCTAGCTATAGGTTAGTTAAATAGAGATGATACAATTTTGCGCTCTAATCAGAACTTCATATGACCCGAAAGAATTTCCGATCACTTGTTGCGTGTAGGGGTATCGAATAGAAAGAAAGTCAATTGAATTTCTCTCTAGCTAATGGGGTGGAGTTTACTAAATACTTAACATACAGCAGCAAGGACTAACATAACTAAATTGACGATAAAATATGTGAAGCGTACTCAAGGAGAGAACAAATAAAGAGAGGGCTATACAGTGAGTAGACCGTGATGAGGTAATTGCAAGCGAACTGCACCCACCTCCTGTTTCCAAGACGATAAACGAGATCCGTCTGACAAGTCATTCCATTCCTTCAGAATTCAACAAAGAAACACGCCGTGATAAGGATGGAGACCATAGTGATAACGAGAGGCCAATGAATATCACATTTTCCCTCCCGAATTCTAGCCAGTGGAGTACACTTCTCACCTACATCGTTCAGAGAAGAATTTCCAAAGACGACCGCCCCTTTTTGCGGAGGTGTTAGAGGTGTTGCAGGTGAGTCATGGTCCCAGATTATTGGATCCGCTCTGAGTTCTTGTACATGGAAGCCTTCACATTTTCCGAATGCCGAATCTTTTGGTGGATGCCAATACAACCCAGAATTTAGCTTCCACGATCCAGCTGTGGTATCAATATGGTCAAAAAGACAAGCCATACTGGCAGTAAGAAACCCCTTCTTTCCAGAAAATTTGTCCCAAGAACTGCAGACACGAGCATTGGACATGTCCGGCGTTATAACTTGACCGAATTTTTTCCCAAATAAAACCAGTATCGAGTAATTTTTAGTAAGATCCCACCAACGTTGGTCTGATTCGTGGCTTTCCGGCAATTCTTTCTCCGTGAAACGACTATTCAAGCTTTGCAGGTCTGTAAAATCCCAACCTCGAGCTCGGTGAGAATCAGTTCTGAACTTGATGCTCTCGATGCAGTCCAAGAATCCCCTGACTGCCTTTTCGAGGTTTATGCCTTGCGGCAATCCTACATTCCTACACCGGCGTATCGCATCTAGTGCAGCGTCTCCGCCATCATCAGCTTGTTTTGCAAATTCCAGTTGCTGCCTGATCTTTGGCCAGATAAGTTCTTTGTGTAAGCGATTATGTGCCATCTGAAGAGCTACACTTAGCTCTGAGACCAACCAAGCACTTTGCTCTTCAGAATCGTATAATAATAGAGGCTGTCTGGCTGCCCGTTTAAGAGCTTGATGCGGCTCAAGTTGAGCGTTGGAGATGGTCACGCTTTGGCTTTTCCGCAAAACGTGATCCTTGGGTGCGCAATCGAGATTCTTTGCCCCAGCACGAAACCGCTCAGGGTCGAAGCTGTTGGCTTCGTCTGCCTCTGGAAGGTTCGATGGTTGTATCTGCTGGCGAAAATTTCTGGTGCCGATCTGCACTTCCACGGCCTCGCAGTACCCCAGATATGCGCGACAGTTAGCCAACGTTTCCATGTCCGTGGTTTGAAACCAAGAATCTGGTTTTTCCATAGCTTCCAAGAAACTAACACTCTCAGGGAGCACGGGCGAGCGATCTGATTTAATCTTCAGGAAGTGCCATTGTATTGCTTTCTCCATTTTCTTCAACTTCATGGTCGGAACCAACATTGAAGTCTCAAAATCTCGTTGCTGGCGGCCTTGGAGAAAGATTCCTCTTCCACGTTCGACGGGATAATGCACGCCAGCCAGATGGGTCATGAGTCGGAAAGGGATCTCAAGACCTAGCCCCTCTTCTCTTGGAGCGATTCGGAATCCGTATGCTAGAACACTTTTTTGAAGTAGGGGGACCCAGCAGCTTCCTGGTGTTCCAGCCTCAGAGGGGACGAGTTGAGCAGCAAGCAAGATGAGGTCAAAGACGGGAGCTGAAATTTTCGCTGGTGGTTGTGGCCTTGAGGCCAATTTTGCTGAGGAAAGTAACAGTGCATTTCCTTGTGGGTTCCGGAAGGTAGCCGCGAGCCAAGTAAGTTGCTCCAATGTTTCGATCAGCTCGGAGTGCGACCCTGTGATTTCAATATCGGCCGATTCTTGTTGTCCGGGCTCTTGGACTGCAGGAAGAAGCTTCATCTCCAATTTATGCTGTGCCGAGAAGCTTTCTTCTAAAAATTCTTATCGTAAGATTGATGTTGCACAGAAGGGGAAGAGAGGGCTGGAACTCACCACACGCCTCGGTACTGATAGCTCGATGAAACGCCTTCATCATGGCTTCCCCCGTGCGTGGCCAAGTCTGTTGCATATAACCAATGCAAGAAGCAGCCTGAGCATTACTTGGGCTTCCAGTGAATGTGACGACTTCATCCAGATTGTACCGAGCATCAAGTTCTTCTTTGCAGCACGCAAGGACTTCCCATCTAGCGTGACACGTAATTGTCACAGGCTCGGAGCCATCTGGAAATAGTCCGGATTCATTCAGCGCAGTGCAGATAGATAGCATAGGATCCCCCAGTTCTTTGACGTCTCTGATTCCAACCTCCATCGTCTCAATATTCCTTTCAAAGCTGAGAGATCTGTCTATTCTCAAGAAGGGCCTTGGAGTCCCCAGAATTGTTTCGAGTTTACTCTCGCTCTCCCCAGTACTGAACGCTTTAATATGCATACCAACTAAGAGGCTCAAGAGAACTTACTATATCTAGCAGAATAGTTCAGATTATTGGAATCAGTCCACTCAGGTTGATTGCCAACAACCGGCGAGATAGCTTGACAAATGGCTGGGAGTCTCTCCTGACGGCGAGGCTATCCCATGAACTTAAGTGGGGTTTTTCAACCGCACATCAGGCAGAAGGATAGTTCGAGAGCTGAGGCAAGTAGCCTGCAAACATCTCTGCCTAATAATGCAGCTCGGGCATAATACGCCTCACAAACATAACCTCCATCAACACAATCTGGGCGAGCCAGGCTTCTTCATCTCTGCCTAATGATGCAGCTCGGGCACAATACGCCTCACAGACATATCCTCCATCAACACAACCTGGGCGAGCCAGGCTTCTTATCTCTGCATTAAAATCAGAGTGCGGCCTTGTTTCCTAGCTTAGGCTGACTCGTAGAGCAAGGGGGAAAAATGCCCAGCCAGATAATAATAATGAGTAAAGGCCGGCAGCCCCTTCTTGGCCCCAAGTTTAGTGAGGCACTCTCGGCGGATCCGAGTTCTCGACGAGTTACTTTATCTCGACTCTGGCTGGTAAGGCTCTGGTGAAGCGAGGGTGAGTAGCGCCTGAGCAAGAGCGGCGGGTGCTTACTAACTGCTGATATCAAATTATGCGGTTTAGGAAGCAGTAAATCAATCAAGGAAACCCTCGTACCGAGGAGCACCCATACGGTATGCGATCCCAGGCCTCGACATCGAACTCTAGACCAGGACCCAGGCTGATACGAATGTGTTGAGTAGGACCTAGCCACGGCCCCTTTCTTTCGGTCTTGCCGGTAAGTTTTGTATCGAATATACTCTGATCTTCACCTCTAATCCCCGGAAAGAATCAACCATCGTCACCTAGTCGATAAGAAAAAATATAAACCCAACTATCTTAGGATATTCTAGCGAATACATCAGTAAGCATTCCACCTAGCAATAGAGGGCTTTCGTATTCTAAGCAGCCAGGATTATCCATGGCCAGCAGAATACAGTAGTCCACTCCCCACCACTTTCAGCTATATTAATCAGTCTCTGAATTGGTACGAAGCCGTACTATAATTCCTTAACCTGCCGTCGAGTCGTGCCTGGCTTTATAGGGATCTCCGCTTTGATTCATGCTAAATCCATAGAAAGTTACTAAAATTGAAAACTTCAACGGATCTCCGAACGAACCGAACATCGATAGTATCGAAACCGGGAATTAACTACAATCCAACAAAGACTTCTAATCCAGACGATGCCACTATCCAGGGTGTTCGCACGCTCGAGTCTTCAAGCAAAAATCCGCATTTACGTAAATTTGGAATACTAAACTCAAGAAAAGGACACCATCTAATCTTCAATTAGAAAACACATAGACAAGCACACTTGACCGTACAAATGTCATATTCCTAGCTGCAAAGCCAAAGACTTCAGTAATACAGGAGACCTGCGGCATCACCGCCGCAAAGTCTACTAGTTATGTGAGGCCCCTTTTTCAACGAAATTGTGAAACCCGCGCGGCGTGATTGGTCCGTGGGTCGCTGAGTCAGCACGATTCTGGCGAAATTGTTTTGGTAAAATTGTGGTTTCTATGACGCCCTACTATTTCATGGCCTCCCTTAGACAGACGCCTTCTGCTTAGGATCTCGTCATGTTTTCGTATAACCCTATTTATAGGGTAGTAGTCTACTACCTCTGTAGCTCTTGTGTCATTCCCGGCCGCCGCAGTCAACAACGATACCTCCGAGCAGAGCCACACCGATTAACCGGTGATATACTTAAAATAATAGTCTAGCTACTTGATAGCTATGACTTACGGACTATAGGGGAGCTCCGAGAGCACAAGCCTAGAGCTAGGAACGAGTATAGGCCAATTAAATACCTAGCGAGCTATAACGGCTTCTATTGCTTATAGCCAGAGTATGATTTCTCTATGTGCCACTGGCTTAGGATAAGGGAGCATATGCCTGCCGTTTATGAGATTAAGACAAAAGAGCACGAGAAGAGCCCGTTATAAAAGAAGTATAAGCTTTAGACATACTTTACTAGGAAGGGTTTAATTAACTACTTTATTATAGTCGAGAATACGAGCCAGAGTAGTAGGTTCAAGCTAGATTCTGCTAGACTAATAAAGACTAAAGAGGAGTTATTTGTCTAGCTCGAAAAGAACTACGATAATATTAAGGTTAATATTAAAGAGCAGGCTAGCGTCGTCTATAATATTAGGGACTTAAGGTCGGAAAGAGTACTATGGCTATATGACCTAACGAGATTTCTATCTTATTTGGCTATACTAAAGGACGAGGAGATCTAGAGCTCATATAAGCTATTACTAAAAAAAGAGCTTAATACAAGTAGTAAGAATATTAAGGATCCTAATCTAGTTCGAATTCTAGTTATAGCTAAGGCTATCTTGAGAGATATATACTAGTTATATAATAATATCTTACTAGACCGGAAAATGACCTAATAGTAGGCTAATATCCTAAATAAATTCTATACTAGAGCTTTAGGTAAAGTAAATAGGTTCTGGTATTTCAAGAATATATTAATTCTCGTTATATACTTTACTACTATAAAGTAGCTATTAGTATACTACTACCGGGTAATATATAGTAAGAATAGCTACTTTACCGGAATTAAAGCTTAATTAGACTAGTAGCTTCCCGGGGATATTATTTAGTTAACCTAGTAATAAATCTAGGCTATAGACGAGATTATAGAAGCCTTAGTTATTAAGAATAAGAAAGAGGCTAAGCTAGCTCTCAAGTATACTATTTGGTAACTTTATCTAATACTAATCTACTAGACTATTAGTAATATACTATTCAAATCCCTTATCTTAAGTTTCTATACTATATTAAGCAGGAAAGTTTATAGGAAAGGCCAAGGATTATAAAAGAAGCCAGGGAATTTTAATAGCTATTTATTAGCTTTAATATAAATTATCTAGCTTGTATTTTTTAATTATATCTGTTTTTAAGAATAAAATAATAAAGACTAGATTCTTGTCTTTTTTATTAAGATTAGTAAGAAGTTCTTCTAGTAGTTAGCCAAGATATTATTTGAGTATATTTTATAATAGAGACTATATTTATTTAAGATTAGGAAAGCTATAATTATAAAATACTAAGCTTAGTAGCTTTTAAATAAGTAAATAATAGAATATTATAAGATGAAATTATAGATATTATAGATTTCGGATTTAGTAGTTTCTAAATATTAATAAGCCTATATCTTATTCTATAATAAACTTCTATTCTAGGCCAAGGATATAATTCTAATAAAATTATAAAGGCTAAAGAATAATCTAGATCTAGAAGATTTTAGATATTTATAGCTCTTTTATTCTAGTAATTCCGAATTCCTAGAAAGTACTAAGCTAGCTCTCTTTTAGTAAATCTAAAGAAATACTAAACTTCGAGCTATATTCTTAACTAAAATAAAGAATAAAAATATAGTTTTATATTCTAAAATTATAGAAATCTATAAAATATATATCTAAAAGTTCCTTAAATAGGTATTAGTACTATATTATATCTTATCTAGCTTATTATTATAAGAACCGGAATTACTATTAATAATATAGTAAAATAATACTTAATAATACTATTTATTAATATAGGAAAAGCTAGTAATAATTTATATCTAATATTATAAAAATTAGTAATAATCGGATATATATAAGAATAATATTTAATTCTTACTAAAAGTAATTAGGGATTTATTACTTATATATATTATATATATTTTACTTTTATAGTAATTATTTCTCTAATAATAAAAGTTAGGTACTTTTATTTTTTTATATTTCTAGGCTAAGCTAGATAGAATAATATAGGCTAATAAGATACTTTTAGCCTATTTAATAAAAATATATACTCGAGCTAAGATATTATATTTATATATATCTAATTAGTAATAGTTTATAATATTAATTATTAAAGAATAAATAAACTTTAATCTTAAGGAAAATATAAGAAAATATATTAAGAATAAGCTAGATCTAGTTACTTTAGTAAAACTAAATAATTATATATATTATATTTTTAATTATATATATACTAGAATAATAATACTTATTATAAATATTTTATTATACTAGAATTACTAAATATCTAAAAGCTAGTATATATTCTTTTAGTTTAATTATATTTTCTAGAAAAAAAGATTATGAAATATTTTAGAAATATTATTCTTATAAATACTTAATATTTCTAAATATAATTAAATATATAAAAGAAATACTTATTTTAAGACTAATTTACTAGCTATAATATAAAAGCTATATAATAAACTAAACTTATAATTCCGGGTTCCTAGTTAATAAAATAATATTCTTATTATTATAGGACCTTAGCTAGCTAAATAAATAATTCTAATAATAAGAACTAGCTCTAGTAAAACTTTAGTTATTATAATTAGTATTATTATTATAAATACTAGAACTATAATTCTAGTTTTACTAATAATAGCTTTATAAAATAATATACTAAAATACTTTTATAAAATAAGTATTTAGTTACTAATCTAGTTTATTAATTATAAATAATTAGCTTTATTAGTTATTATATTAGCTAAAGCTATATATATTTAAGGCTTTTTTAAATACTATTATATTCTAGTTAGTAAATAAAAACTAGACTATATTATAATTAATAAGAATTATCTTATTATTACTACTAGTAATTACTAGCTATATATAGCCTAGTTAGGTAAATATATTTAGTAGAAAATATAGACTATTTAATTAATAGTAATTCTTTTTCCTATAATATAAAAGATATTTATTAAATATAATAAGTTAGTAAGGCTAAAAATTATCCGAAAATTAATAAACTAGCTAAATATTAAATATATAATTAGCTTTAAGACCGGACTTAGTACCTTAATTAAAAGAATTACTAATTTAGTATAAATATATTAGCCTAAATAAGAAATCTTTAACTATTTCCGGAATAAGATTATTATTTATTACTAAACTTAAAAAAAAATAGCCCTATTTACTAAATTTCTTTAGT